AAGATAACCTTTGTAGCCTTAAACCATAATTCTTTTGATCTAAACCTTCCATATTTATGTTTATATGCGTTACATTCATTGCAAAAGTAATGTTCTTTTAGTAAATTAGACCACCGTTTTGTTTCACTATCTCTACAATTGAAACACTTCCGTTTATTTGCTTCAATTATTCCACCTATAATTATCATGGAAAAATTTTTTGGTCAAATGAAAATATAGACAATGCTAAGAATTTAATTACTTATTTTATTTCCAATGTCAATAATTTTGCTTTCTAATTCTTTCGGATATTCAACTTTTTGTTTTTCTAACAATTCAATTTTATATCCAATTAAATTAATTTCCGTCCAATAACTTGATGAAAGTTTGTTTTTATAAGATTCTATATTTTCTTTTAATAATTCTTTTTTATTTATTTTTGTATTTTCCAAACTTTCATCTAATATCGTAGTTTCATAATAATTATTATTTATGATAAAATTATTATTTAGATGAATCTTAGATAAATTAAATTTTAGGCTTAATTTTCGAATAATAAGAATATAAAATACCTTTTTTCCCAAATTTTTCAAATTTTTTTTAACAATTTCATTATTGGAAATTTCAATCAAAATTCTCATTTTTAATTGAGAGCTAAATTTAGGCCCCTGATATAGTTTAACAATAAAAACTTTATTGTCAGGATTTACTTCAAGCTTACTATATGATTCAGTATTCTTATAAAGATAATCAACTATTCTACTTTTATGTTTTACATTCATTATCAATACAAAACGTTCCTTTATTTGAATATTTTTTAAATAAATAAATTCTCTTTTTTCTTCCCAATCTTCTTTTATTTTTAATCCAACTTCAACCATTCTACATTTGATTTGGATATTCAACAGAATAACCAAATATGAAAGAAGAATAATAATAAATTTATTCATCTTAAATTTTAATATTAAAAATATTTTATAAAATACAAATAAAAGTTTAATCTATTTAATATAACTGATAATAAATGTCTTATTATAACTAGTGTCGCCCGATAAAATTAAAAATATTATCGGTCGTTGCTACAGATAAAGGATATATAGTCCGAGGTCTATAAAGGGCAAAAAATAAAGGGGGATCTTTTGTAAGGTTGTCGGATATTTGGAAATCTTCGGATCCGTTATCCGAACCGAAAATTTATGATATACGATTTCCGAAACGAAAATTTCGAATATCAGGATCCGACCCCGAAAATTTTATTTTCAAAGTTTAAGTCCCAAAGTTGAGTCCCATGGAAGTAAATTAAGGGATTAATATATGAATTGTGGATTAAGAGTTTTTGAGGGAATTTAGAATTAACAGAAATCTATGTGTAATCAATGTGTGGAAGTTTTATATTTTATCTAATGATTTGTAAGAATTCAGTGGAATTATTAAATTCGCGCATTTATGTTTAATGCTATAAAAAATTGTCAAAAGAATTATAATAAAAGAAAAATAAGAAAATATTAAAAATATTTAATTTTGTTGAGACACTATAAAGAAATAGTCTCATTTTGACATTTTCATCATATGCTAAGTTAATAAGAGCTGTTCGAAATTTCGATTTTTGACATTGGCAATCAAGATTTCGGCCCTAGTATTTCGAAACTAGTTTTAGAGATAAAAGGGGGTACAAATCTAACCAAACTACAAAATTTTATTTACTAATTATTTTAACCAAAGTGCAAATTTAAAATCAGTCGTTGAGAAAATAAATATAAAATAAATAAAAAATGATTCAACCTCTCACTGGAGAGGGTAATTATTTGAGAGTCCCCGCTACAATTCAACCTATTCTTTCCTAGTAACTACCTTCCTCTCTATTTTTTTATTGTCCATTTATTATTTTTTCCTATTTGTGTGAAATAATTCATTTAAATCACCATCACTTTTCCTTCCCGAATAACTGAAACCTGAAACATCCATCACTAAACATTACTTCACTCATTATCCCAATTATCACTCGCAACTTTCTCAGAATTTTTACATCAATTAATTTCCTACTTTAATTAATCCCATCTTTCCAAAATATTTAACAAATGATAGATTTATATCCGAATTCCCTAATTATTATCTAATTTACAATTTTTATTATCTATTATCCTTGTTGTGACAGACCCTGGCAAGCTTGTTTAAAATTTATTTAAAATACTAAATAAAATAGCCTTTTAAAACTAACAAATATTTCCATACAATGTGAAAGTCATATTGTAGGTAAAGAAATATACAAAGCAAGTTTTAAAAATGCCCTAAATGACAAAATAAATTAATAAAAAAAATAAGACGGTAAATTATGAAATGTATTTATGTTATTTTATATTTATTTTCTCAACGACTGATTTTAAATTTGCACTTTGGTTAAAATAATTAGTAAATAAAATTTTGTAGTTTGGTTAGATTTGTTATAGTCAAAAAGTTATAGTCTAAACAAAAGCGGCCAATAATTTGCCGCACCCTTTAATTAAAAAATTTGTTTGTATTTTTGACGGTGGGTTTATGATTGCACCATATTTTGCGATTGTACATTAACCTTGTGTGAATGAATTAGAAATAAAAGTATTAGTACACACAACGTTGTAAATTTTCTACAATATAATGTTGTGTCTCACGAAAAAATTAAATTTAACCCAATCTTACTTTTTTGGAAAAAATAAAATCGTGGAGTTGATCAAATTGATCCACTTTCGGTTTATTGTTACTGTCAGATCTACACTATGTTCCTAAATTATAACCGCACCCCTATTTTTCTCACTATTTCATGTTCAAGTCATTTTTTAAAGATTTTTTTAATTATCATATAGGGCCGAGGGATAAACAATATTCAATAATGAAATGAATATTTTAATTTGAGGACGTTGAATTATTTAACATTTTTTTGAATTAAGGGTGTTCCAAAATTATAACCGCACTTTTTGTTTTATAGGTTTCTAATAGTGGGAAAAATCTACAAAAATTTGTGTAAACATATCTATCGATATAGATAAGAAATGCAAAAGAAATGAAGTTCTGATATACTTCCATCATCGAGATCTTGAAACCCGAAAATCAACGGAAAACCGGGGTCTTTTAAAAATATTTTCGACCCCTTACAGGTGAAATAAAAATTTTATTTTGGGCTTATTTGAAAGCCCATGAAATTTGCTGCAAGATAGTAGTGATGCTCGGGTATCCCGATCCCGACACCCGACTCGGGAAAAGTTCCCGAGTTTTTGGCCTCCCGATCCCGATCCCGACTCCCGGTGTCAATTCCCGACTAAGTCGGGAAATTTTTACACCCCTAAGAATGGATTTTTCTGACAAAATTATATTTTCGTTTATAAAAAATGAAGAAATCTGGCCTCTTGGTCTTCCAAAATTCCCAAAATTTTCGCCTGCGGCGCTGAAAAGGGAAGATTTTTGGCTTAAGGATCTTCCAAAATCCTCAAAATTTTCGCCTGCGGCGCTGAAAATTGAAGAATCTGTGGTTTTGTAGTATAGAAGATTTCGGTGATTTACTAGGATTATGGTGAATTTGAAGAGATAACGAGGGATTTGCAGTAATAAAGAGAGATATCAATGGATCTGAGTGACTAATGTTGCATAGGGGGTGTTAATACTATAGGGGGATATGAAGAGATTTGTGGCTAGTTCACCAAAATTCCAACAAAATTGAACGTAAAAATATTTTTTTCTGTTTCACTCTCTTTTCCAATGGAGAGATTCTAAGGACTTAAGGTCACTGACAACAACTACATATAAATCAAAGCCGGTCTCTGGCTCAAAGAAAAAGCCCCCAGCAATACCCAACACTGATTATCTCTGCGGTTACTAGGTTTTTAGGACAGGCTGTTGGCTTATCTTTCCACATAATCGCGGAAATAATCTCTTAAGTTACCCTTAAAGGTTGTTCAAGATTCCTTTCTTTTTCACTCCAATGAGAGTCAAAATTTTTGGCTGCGGCGCAAAAAATGGAAGAAATCTGACTTCTTGAACTAAAAATTCTAAAATTTTCGCCTGAGTCGCTAGTAAGGAAGATGTCTGGCTTCTTTACCTTCCAAAATTTTCAATATTTTTGCCTGTGGCGAAAAAAAATCGGAATTTTTGGCGCCGAAGGCGCCAAAAATTTTTGGAATTTTTAGAAAATTTTTTTATTGCTAATTCCCGACTCCCGATCCCGACTCCCGAGGTCATTTCCCGACCCGACTCCCGTTTCCCGATTCCCGGGTTTTTTCTTCTCCCGAGCATCACTACAAGATAGCATAAATTTTATTTTCCGGCAAAATTTTCTCAATATTTCATGTACCAAACACATTCCTCAAGATGCTCATAGCTATGTTGTACGAATTTGTTGTACATTTTTCTATAGAACCTACACATAACCATTTCGTCCTTCATCACATTCAAGAGAATTCCACCCCCGATATATCGTGTGATCATCGCCCTAATCCTCATTGCTTCACTTTTTATCAAGCCCAATCTTTTCCTAAAATAACCGATTAGTTATATTTTAAGATTAAAGGTACTTCTTGCCAAACGGCTTCCTTTAATTCCTACTTTTGGTCCCATTAATTAATAGAATATGAATTATAATAGCTAAAAATTCAAATAAAGCGCTTAAATTTTAATAAAATAAAGATTAATATAAAATTAGAAAACATATCTTCCAATCAAAGCTAGCAAAATTTTTTGTAAAATTGTATTCATTTAAAGATATTTAAAACAAAGACAAATCATACGATCAAGATTGGCAAAGTTTTTTGAAAAAAAGATTTAAAGATATTCAAGAAAGACAAATCATCCTATAAAAGGGCAAAACTTTTTTTGAAAAAAATATTAATTTAAAGATATTTAAAAAAATACTTTTAATGATATAATTTTAATTTAAATATTCAATACAAAATTACTATCTTTATATTTACAAAATTTTTGCAATAATTTGATTTTTTATTTGCACACTTTTTTTAAATTTGGCCTTAATAATATATATTTTAAGTAGTTAATTGTTAAGTTTATTAGTTAAGTAATTTTTAAGTAGTTTTCCTTTTTTAGTTTTATTTTTATTTCTTAATGTATTTTTTAGTGATTTTTTACAATTGTTTTTCTCATGATAATTGCTTGTTACACAACCATGAAGTTATTTTTTGATACATTTATTTGTCACTTTTTTACTTTTTTCTCCATAATTTTTATTTTAAGAATTATTAATCGTCGATTTATTTGTTTTGTTATTTTTTGCGATTTTTATTTTATTACTCACTTTTCAGGATTGTTTCCATTTATGTCATTTTTATTTTTTACATTGTTTGACGTTTCTACGTTTATTTACTTTTTTATTTTGGGTTTTTTCATTTTATTATTTTCCATCTTTTATCTGCACTAGTCTTTTATTTCACTTTAATTCCCTTTAATTAAAAATTTTATACTTTTTATAATTTTTCTGATAATTTTATCCAAATATTTTGTACAAGATTTTTGAGATGATACTGAAAATGATGAATTGTTTTTGGTGTGTCATTTCTATTTGAACTTATTCGAAAAAAGTATACCTATAATCCTTTTAGTTTTATTTTCCTCTTTTTACTTTTTATTTTGTTTTCAATTCTTGAATTAATTTTTTAATTTATGCTATAATTTTTGAAGGTTTTATTTAACAATAGATAATTTATTTATATATTTAATATGCTACCCGTCCGTTCTGTCAAGTTAAGTAACGTTGGTAACAACTTTATTTGTTTGCACATTTTTCTACATAGTTATTCAAACGAGCATCAAGAGTTACATATGTTTGATAGTATTTTTAATTTTTAATGTATTTTTAAAAAATCCTAAAATTCAGCAGATACAAAAAATTAATTATCTAACCAGTGTTGAACCCAACGAATCTAACAGATCCTTTATAAGATATAGTTAATAAAATTTTTAAATTACAAAGAATATAAAATTAATATAGCCCATGAGAAAGAACATTAAAAATCAATAATAATTATATCCTTTTTCTTAAATTATTTTTGATTTCAACTTTCTCTTTTTTATTTTTTTAAATTTCAAATCGCTTCTCTTGATTATTGTATTGGGAAGATCTGATATTTTCCTTGAAGAGATTTTTAGATGTCTTGTATGTTTTGATTTTACTCTTAAATTTTTTAGCATTAAACAAAGTAGGACTTGGAAACGGAATGTTCTTAAATTTTTCTGCAATTATTTATTTATACTCGTGTTATTTTAGTTGTGTTTAAAATATTAAAAAAAATGTTTTAAAACTTAAAACTTTTTAAAAAATGTTTAAAAAAATGTTTTTTATACTTAAAATATTTAAAAAAATGTTTTAAAACTCCACTATATACTAATTTTTTAACGCTAAATTTGCATTTCTAAGCAGCAAAATGTTATATAAGTTAATTTTGATGCAAAATATTACAAATAAAACGATTTATGGCAGTTTTCTGTTTCCGAAAATAATTTGGATAATATATAGGTGGAAAATTATCTGAAAAATTTTTTCAGTAAATTTTTATAAAAAATTTTGAGTTTTTCAAAGAAACTTTTAACCAAAGACTAGGCCAGGAAAAAAATATGGAAATCCATATAAATCCCATCCCTATACAAAAATAAATAAAATAATGAAAATAAATCGAGTTATTTAATATTTATCTTGGTAACAATTAAAGAATTTTGTTTTTCACTAAATTACATAGATTATATTTTACATAGTTTTAGAATTTGTTCAATAAACTCAGAAAATTAAAGTTAAAAAATCATAATAATTTAAATACTATTCATTCGATTCTTCTTCTGTTTGAATTTTATTTGTTTTCTTTTTTATTCTTTGTTGTTTTTTGTAACAAGCTTTACATATATATTGTTCAGGTTTTGAATGTCGGTACCACTGTAATGTTTTTGTTGCTCCGCAAGTATAACATTTTCGATCATTTGTAATTTTCTAAAATATTTATAAAAATAAAGGACAATAAATTTAAACCATTATGTTTGATTCAAACTTACTTCGAGTTTCATTTTGTCATTATATATTTTATAATCCTGACAGTTTGCATAAATAATGCTCTTTTAGGTATCTATACCAATTTTTGAAAATTGTAAATCTACAATTGAAACAGTTTCGCTTATTTCCTTCAATTATTTCTCCTATAATAGTAAAGAATAATATGTATATTTTTAGGCATATACATAAACAAATAAAAAATAAAAAAACTATTTACTTATTTTATTGCCAATAACATTAATTCTGTTTTTTAATTCTTCCTTCGGATTTTCTAATTTTTGTTTTTCTAACAATTCAATTTTATATCCAATTAAATCAATTTCCGTCCAATAACTTGATAAAAGTTTGTCTTTATAAGATTCAATATTTTTTTCAACTAAGCTAGATTTAGTGTTATTTTTTAAATTATTATCTAATATTGATGTTTCAAAACGATTATCATTAATTTTAATAAAATTATTTTTTCGAAGTATCTTAAATTTATGATCAATTGTGAATAGATACGTTAACTTTTGGGAGTTTTTAGGTTTTAAAAACATTGGCCTCATTATGTTTTGTACAAGCTGAAATTATTTTCACTCTTGTACAATAAGGTTGCCTCTTCCCAAATCACCAGAATTTCCGATATATCTTTAAAACATCCTTTTTAATCCTTTGATATCTCCCCAAACCCTTATGATATACATCTTTCTTTAGATACCCTAATCGAGCAAAATAAAGGATGCTGAGAGACTTAGTTCTAATGCCGATTTATGTATGTAAATGCGATTTATATGTGTTTGAAAGGGGTAGAGAGTTACCAAATTCCAAACTGTTGCTTTTAATAGACCAGGTTTTAACATATTAAAAACTTGATCTCTATAATTCCCCCAAATACACTCAAACATAAAATATCCCATGATAACATCCGAAGATTTACAACTATCGACAACCTTATTGTACAATATTGAAGTTTCATAACGATTAATATTTTCAATAGATTTACTATTCGGACTACTTTATTTTACTCAATGTAGAATAGTTATAGAAGCCGATTTCCGTTTTCTTGCTTTTACATTTTCTTCGCTAGTTGTGGAATGAAAATCCAATTAATCACAATTTACCTTTTTTTCAAACCTAGGCAGCAAATTTTGAATAATTTCTTTATTGATAATTTCAATAAAAATTTTCTTTTTTTAATTGATCAGATGGAATATATTTTGATTCATCACTTATTTCAATTTTAAAAATATTTTTATACAGATTTATTTCAACTGTATGCAAATATCCATCTATATTTTTATTAAAGCCATCAAATCGGTTATTACTTTTCTTAATTACTTTCATCACAAAACGATCCTTTATTTCATACTTCTTTAAATAAATAAATTCTCTTTTATTTTCCCAATCATCTTTGATTTTCACTTCAACATGAATGAGTTTCCCAGTGCATTGAATTTTCAAAAATATAATTAAATATATGAGAATGATAAAATTAAATTTAATCATCTGAAATATCAAAAGGTATTTACAACATAGAGGTAATATTAAAACGAGCTGGTAGTTCCGAGACGAAAATTCCGCCACCCAAGTGTGTCCTTGAGTTGTGGGTTAGTTCCTCGGGTAATACAACTCCCAGATGCGTGTTAAATTTAAACACTCATCCGATGAGGGTTCAAATCTTTGCTGCAGCTATTTAAAATTATTTAAACAATCAACGATAATTAAAATAGCTATAAAACAGAACAGAAATATACAAAATTATTACTGTAACACTAAACTATCTTGCTTAATACAAACTTAAAATTGAATATATACTGATGCTTTTACTAAAATCGTGCTGTTATTTAATTTTAATAAATAACAAAAATAAATTTTTTAAATTTTCCAACGAATTTAAAAATAAATAAGGTAACATTTTAGGTATTAAATAAATACACATAGATGCGCACATCAATCAAAGCACAAATTATCGAATAATTAAAACCCATGGCAATATACTTAAAGTGCAATTATTAATTTCGAAATGTGGTCTAAGTAAAAAATAAATAAATAATAAAGCGGTATATTTTAAAATTTCTTTAATGTTTATCAAATAAAAATGATAAACTATAATACCTACTATAATATCTACTATAACCTACTATAATAAGTTTCCAGATTTTATCCAACTTTTAATTTTGGAGTATTTTGTGGATGTAGAAAATATTAATTTTGAATCTAAACAGAAAAGTGAATTTGATTTTGTTTCAATAGAATAATTAAAACAGAATATTTGAACACCGCAAGTAAGGGAATTGTTAATAAATTTGCTAGTTTTATAAATTAAATAGCATTTACGTTTTAGTCGCGTATTTTTACCCTTGAATTTTAGAACTATTAAAGTGTTTTTCATCTGGTAACTTATTGTAGTAGGTATTAATGTATTTTTCCTCAAAAGTTTAGCAGTTTCTTACTGTTTTAAAAAGTACATTTTCATTTTTCCTTTAGACATATCCGGGAAAAATTACATTATTTTATTAAAATATATTTAAATCAACAACATTTTAATTCAGTAAACAAACATATTCTTTCAAAATTGTTAAAGTACTTTATTAATTTTACTTGATAAAATTAAAGAAATTTTAAAATATACCGCTTTATTATTTATTTATTTTTTACTTAGACGAACTTTCGAAATTAATAATTGCACTTAAGTATATTGCCATGGGTTTTAGTTATTCGATAATTTGTGTTTTGATTGATGTGCGCATTTATGTGTATTTATTTAATACCTAAAATGTTACCTTATTTATTTTTAAATTCATTGAAAAATTTAAAAAAATTTATTTTGTTATTTGTTCAAATTATATACAGGCGATTTTAGTAAATGCATCGGTATATATTCAATTTTAAGTTTGTATTAATCAAGATATTTTAGTGTTTCAGTAATAAATTTGTCATATTTCTGTTCTATTGTATAGCTATTTATTAATAACTGGGGAAAATTATTAACAAATATATTATTAAAATGCTTGATATTATCTTTGCTTCTTTGAAAGCTACCACTTAGTCTGAAACGACTTGAGTCTCCAGTATAAAAAACCTTATTAGTCGACTTACTATTTACAACCGCTTCGACTCACTACCCCTCAAAAAATAATTCAATAATTCTAATATTTGTTGTTTGTTTTTTCAGGAGATTTAATATTAAAATTTAGATGAATAAAATTATTATTATTCTTTTCTCATATTCGATTGTTCAGTTGAATATCCAAATCCATGGTAAGATGTTTGAAGTTGTATTAAAAATAAAAGATGATTGGGAAGAAAAAAGAGAATTTATTTATTTGAAAAATATTCAAATAGGAGAACGTTTTGTATTGATAATGAATGTAAATCATGGAAATAAAGTCGAAAATTATTTCAATAAAAAAACTGAT